TCACTTGATGCCGTTGAAGGTGAGCACGGCCTGCATGTCCTCAGGCAGGGCCTGGGGCTCTGGCCACTCGAAGCCATCAATGATGGGCACAATGTTTTTACCGCAGCTCAAAGCAGTCACAATCTCCTGGAGAGAGAAGGGAGGGTGAAGATACCAAGGTCCCCAGCTAGGGACCCTGGGGCCAGGCCAACACTGGAAGGGCAAACAACAGCCTGAGGGTGAGCCCAGGGTGGGCTACTGGTCCTAAAGCCCACCTTGACTTCTCCCTCACCCTTTGTGATATAATAAAAAATAAATAGCCCAGCCGGCATGGCTCAGTGGTTGAGCATCAACCTATGAACCAGGAGGTCATGGTTCGATTCCTGGTCAGGGCACATGCCCAGGTTTCGGGCTTGATCCCCAGTAAGGGGCGTGCAGGAGGCAGCTGGTCAACGACTCTCTCATCATTGATGTTCCTATCTCTCTCTTCCTCTCCTTTCCTCTCTCTAGAACCAAGAAAAAGATATTTAATAAATAAATAAATGAATGAATAAATAAATATTTGGTCTTTGTCCTAGGTTCTTGGCACAGAGCTCTTAAAACCCTTCTACTCTCCAGACGACNAGTATATCTTTATTGATTTCAGAGAGAGGAAAGGAGAGGGAGAGAGAGAGACAGAACCATCAATGATGAGAAAGTCATTGATCGGCTGCAGCCCGCAACCCGGGCATGTGCCCTGACCGGGAATCGAACCCTGATAGCCTAGGATCCCAGGTCGACGCTTAACCGCTGAGCCATGCCCGGCCGGGTGACATGTAGTTTTTAATACATGGATTTGATCACAGCCCTATGTCTTTCAGACTCCACAGTGTGTTTATTTCTTCACAGGTACTCTCTTTTCTGCTGTGGCCTGTGTGAATGGCTTGGCCATGCTGATGGCCTCTGGCATCTTCAACTCGCTCTACCCAGCCACCCTGAACTTCATGAAAGGGTTTCCCTTCCTGCTGGGAGCTGGCCTCCTCTTCATCCCTGCCATTCTGATTGGGTAACACAGGACTCTGACCCAAGCTCATACGCCCTTTATCCCAAAGGTTTCCTCTCCCTCCTCTTCCTCCCAACCAGAATTGGCTGCCCTGTTCCTGGAACCTTTCCTCTGTGGGCGTTTCAGTCCCAGCCTGACTTTCCCCGTGCAGATGGCTGTCTGATCCTCTGGAAGCCAATTCCTAAGGGCAGGGCAGAGGGGCAGTAGGGGAAGGGTCGGGCTAACATTGCTTCTTGGCAAGGCTGTTCTCTCCCCGTTTCACGCTTTATAGATGGAACTAAATTGACAGATCTGCTAAAGGGAAGCTGGACAGCTTCCTTGGCTCGTTGTGGCTGGGCCACAGGTTTGCTTGCCCCACTGACTTCTTCCTCCATAGCCTTAAGAGTCACTTTCCAGAGCCCTCTTCTCAGGACATTGTCTTTCACCTTACCTTGGGAGGGGGATACCTGTACCAGACTACCCAATAAAGCCTGTGTCACTTCTTCAGGAATTGAGGGTTCCCCCATATAAAATTTGAACCCTCTCTCTGGTCTCTTACAGGATGCTGGGAAAGGCTAATCCTCACTCTGAATTCCAGCAATTTCCCCAGAGCCCCTGATCTGCCAGGACCAGAGGACAGAGGCCAAGAGGAGTGAAGTGAGCACTAACCAACTGGAAGTATGCACCTGGGACCCACCCACAGCAGCACCAGCAGCTCCCCTCAAAGGCAGTGTTCACCTTGGATAAGGTGGTCAAGCTAGACCAAGGCCCCCACCTCATTCATAGCTGTGCCAGCCTGTGACTCAAGGATCTAGAATTGTAACCCAGTCTGTCTGACTCCAGGGCAGGCAGTTGGGAAGCCATTTGGAACAGGGGTCTGTTTACCCTTTATGCCGTCAATCGCATAAAACCCTGAAGGGGAGAAGACAGGTCCTGATAGAGGTGATGCCTCAGGGACCAGTGGAAGCATGAGCGCTGGCATCTCCGCTTCCAACCAAAGCTGCACAGCTCACAGTGCACAGTCCACGGTGGACAGCCACCAGCCACTCCTTAATGATGAATACTTCGAGGGGAGGAAGAGTTGGGAATGGAGAGAGTGCTTCTCACTTAGTGGAATCAATCCCCTCGGCTTAGCAGTGCCAATCATACTAATAAAGCAGTATAAGCACACTGAAATGAACCTTCCGGCACCCAAGGCATTGGGATGTGGGCCCTTTATTTTCCCGTTCCGTCTGCCCACCATAGGTCAGACAGACAGCTGCTGGGCTGGGCAGAAGCCCCTGAGCTGCCATGGGATTGGTACTGGGTGTGGCTAGCCGGGACCTCATCTGACTGCCGGTTCTTTCACCTGAGCTGCTGGGAGATGAAGGGCTTCCAGACTTGCATCAAGCCAAGCAGAGAGGCTTGGACCAGAGCCCTGGCCACTCCTTCCTGAGGGTCAGAGATCTCTTCCCTGAAAGCACCTGTACTGGTCTTCCTGGCTACGACAGCCCAAGCAAAATTAGTTTTTATCCCTCAGCCCTCAACACCTCCTGTCACCAGGTGTTTCAGCAGGGCCTTGTGCTGAGACCATCCCTCATGCATCTGTAAGTCAATGGGAACCTGGAGGTGGGCCTGACTCCCCATGATCCAGGGCCCCCAGCTTCCCAGAGAATGAGGGGGCCACTTTTAGGGCATAATGAGAGTCTGGGCCTGAAGTTGAAAGGCAAAATTGGATTCAATATTAAGATACCGGCTTTGATGAGGGCCATGAGCCCCCAAACAGACCCATAGAGTTCAGCCCCCTACTCTCATTTCTACCCCATTCTCTCTCACAGTCAGTTTTCTGGCTAGAAATCACTCAGGTAAAACGGGGTGGCCTAGGGCAAACCAGGGTGAACGTGGCCTCTGCAACCCAGGCCTGTTTCTAGATTCCCATCTCACTGTCCGCTGTCATTGGAAGACAAACAAGAAGAGGGCCCTCCACGGACTGGCCCAGTATGAGTCAGGGGGGGAGGAGAGGGAAAGGCTCTGGGCTGGCCTCAGGCCTGGCTGTACTCCAGCCACTGCCTCTGGCTCACAGGTGACCTTGAGCAAGCCCCTCTATGAAAGGCTAGTTCAGCAATACCCCAGATTGTCTGATGATGGTTGGACAAGATGGGAAACACTGAGTTAGGTAATGTTCTCAGATCCTTTCCACCTCATACGTTCTAGAATGAGATGCCTCTCTTCACCGGCCTGGGGGAAGGATAAGTGAGTTGGAGCTGGGCTTTTGATCTCTGAGTGTCCCTGAGCAGTTTTTGGTCCCTGAGGAGGTAGGGTAGGACCTACTGGACTCAGCCCCGACCTGGGGGCAGCAGCTACAGTCCGGCCAAGTAGACAGCCCTGGCCCTGTAGCCCTGCGTCAGAGCAGACTTTGGGAGAAAGACTGTGTCTCAGCCCTCTGCTTCAGGACCAGCCCCGCGAAACCAAGCTTCGGTGGAAGGTGAGGGCCAAGGTGCCCGCCCGGGCTGTGATATGGGCAGTCCCCAAAACACACTGGCCCGCCTGGGGGGAGGGCCACCACTTAAGCAGCAGGGGGGATGGGAGGGCTAAGCTCTGATTCCCCAGAGAGAAGGGGAAGCAGTGGAGGGTGTACCAAACAGAAGAAGCAGGGCTGGGAAATCTCTCTGAATACTGTTCTTGGGGGACCTCAGGAGGGAGTGAGGTTGGGGACAAAAAGACAGAAAGCTTCCCCTGGAGGATATTCACCACACTGTATTGTCTCTGGTCTGTGAGGGCAGCGTGGAGTCTGCCTTAGCTACCGTCATATCCAGGACCTGGCAGTGGTGGGCCCTCTAGTGGCGTGAAGGAGGAAGTGCAGTCTAAGCCAGAGTTGGGGCTAGGGCCCGCTCAACAGTATCTTCGGCAGGGAGGGGCGTGGAAGGAAGAAGTCCCAAGCCTGGATTGATACCTTTGACTTCCTGGTTAAGAGTGACCTGACCAGCACTTGCAGGAGGCACTCTGGGAGCGGAGCCAGCTTTGAGGTGTGAACACACTACTTTTAGGGAAGAGACAGGCTGGTTAGCTGGAGCCTCCCTACCCTCCTGGAGGAAGGGGGGCAGAGGGGTGTTCCTGCTCATTTATTTTTGTATAGCCCCTGGGTCAAAAACCTATCCCCACTTCTATATTCTTTGGGGAAAGGAAGAAGCCAGCTGTCTGTGGGGCAGCAGCCCAGCCCAGGTCGCAGCCTCCAGGATGACTCTCAAGAGAGCAGTCCCACCAGCAGTGGGCTGAGCACCAGGAGGCCAGGTCTGGGTCCTGGGCTGCCACTCATGATTTGGAAAACAGCACATCATTCGATTCCTCTGTAAAATGGAGATAATACTAGGTAGGGTTGCTCTGATGATTGTGGAGTCCATGGGGTGGGGTGCTGGGAAATGCTGAAGGTGTGTGAGGGACTTGTATTTCAGAGCCTTGCAACTTAAAGTGTCATTCTTGACAGCCAGCATTGGCTCACCTGGGAATCAGAAATATGGAAGTTGAGGCCCAGGTCTCCTGAATGGAATTTTAACAAAACTCCAGGTGATTTAAATGTATTGCCAGAGTTGGGGCTAGGGCCAGCTCAACAGTATCTTTGGCAGGGAGGGGAGTGGAAGGAAGAAGTCCCAAGCCTGGATTGATACCTTTGATTTCCTGGTTAAGAGTAACCTGACCAGCATCTGCTGGTGAGCCAGTGCTGGCTGTCAAGAATAACACTTTAGGTAGCAAGTGTCAGGACATTGCCTCTTCCCAAGGGGCTACTGCTAGGAGGAACTGGGAAGCCAGATGCGCCAGGTGGGGCAGGGGCCTGAGGCCCAGCACCAAGGTGTGGGAGGGTGGCTAGCAGCCCTTTGAGACATGGCCTTCCCTGCCCAGGCCCAAGCAGGGAGCGCCCACACACCTGTGAGTGCTTCAGACCCAGCTGCAGCTGCAAACCAGCCAGAGTGGGGGCCGCCTCAGCCCAGCCATGACCCCAGATGTGGCAAAAGAGACTGTACCTCAGGGAGGGTGAGAGGGGGCTTGGGACCAGGCCAGGCCAGCTAAGGGCACTGAGTGATAACAGGGCAAGGCCACAGGGCAGCAGGAAGCAGTGAGCCAGGGACCGGCACAGTGTAGGTGGAGAGCCACCAGTGGGCTCTCATCCCCTCCGGTTCCCAGGCCCAGGGGCATGCTTGGCTGGGAGGGCTGGGCATTGCCTTAATTCCTGTCAGAGGCTGCCTGACTTCCCCTACTCAAGCAGGGGAATGTCAGGGAGAGGGGGTTGTGTGTAGCAAACCCTCGCTCTTCAGTGTCTCCAGAATTGATCAATGAACCTGAGACAGAGAACCTGGTGGCAGGGCCTAAGGGTGGCCTAACCCTTACCACCCCTGATGCCTAGCTTCCCTTCCCTTTCCGGATACTGAGGAAGCTGGGCTGGAGGTGGCCCATGAGGGTCTGGGAGAGGGAGAGCCATTTCCTGAGTAGGGCCTAGGCTGTCTCAGCTCAGGGAGGCCGGCGTGAGGAGCTGCTCCTTCCAGGGAGATAATGGAAATGGGGGTTACAGCAGGACTTGGAAACTAGGGACTGGTTAAGTCGGGCCCATGGGTGCAGCACCCTCCAAACTGGTATCGGAGCCTGCAGACGAGTCCTGGGAGGTGCGGCCCTGCAGGAAGCGGATGATCTTCTCAATGGTGGCCTCTTGGTACTCATGGCACCACCTGTGGGCACAGAGGCTGGTGGGTCAGAGGGCTGGGTAGAGGGAGCTGCTGGCTGCAAGGTCTGTGTATCCACCCTCCAC